TATATTTTTGTTTACTGAGAAAATAGCAATTAAATCTTTTTTGTAGGTACTGTATCTTTCTGAACCTATATTTGCAGAGCATGCAAAATTATTATTCATACAAGTATACAGGTATAAACAAAAATTGAAGGCTGCGATAGTGAAAGCATTGCAATGCCACATTTTTGCTTTATGCTTGTAAATTTCCCTTTAATTGCAACCAATGCCACTTAACAACTTGTACTGTCATTAATTTAATCAATGCAAGGAATTGGCTTATTGCGAAAAGTGCTTGCAGGACACGCCATCGAAGTGTGTGTGCATAAAATAAATATAAACAAAGAGCATTTTTAAAATGGCGCATAAATAAATTGCGAATTGTGCACTCGCTTTGCCACGTCTGACATTTCTTAATTTATTATCTGTCGTATAAATCAACGTTTTAATTATGTGTTGTTGCCATCGTCGTCGTCGTCGTTGCTGTTGTTGTTGTTGCTGTTTCTGTCGCTGTCATTGCTGCTTCTGTTAAGTATTTGTGAAATGAGCGCGCATTGCGTTGATGAGTAAGGTACATAAAAATGTTAATTACCTGCACAGCTTACTCTTTAAATTGCATGCAAACAACGGGAAAAAAGACAACGATGGGACACCTCTACCTTAACCCTACCATCTGTACTACATAAAAGTAAAATTTAGGCAGTTGGAAGCCAAGCTCGCACATAGCGAAGGCAGCTGTTTTAATTACAACAAAGCCGTAGCAAAAACAAATGTTTGCGGCACATAAAAGTGGCTAACGAGTCGACGGCTCTCTAGCTGGCAAGCCGCCGTTGACATATTTGCGTATTAGCATTAGAGCCCCCAACGACTTAACCAGGCTAAATCTTTTTAATTTTCCCACAATTATAAACGCGTCTCGCATATGCAATTGAATGTCTTGGCAATGTGTCGCAACGGTGTGGCGATATGGTCGGCAGCATGGGGCATGTGGTCGGAGTCAAGAGCAAACGTCTAGGCATTCTGTTTACTTGTTATGCCAGTTGTTTGTTTATGCCTAATGCTAATGATTGCCGTTAGTCGGTAACGTGGCTGGTACCCCTGTTTGCAACCATTTCTGTGTGTGTGTGTGTGTTGGGGGGTATCGCCATTTTGTATGTACATTTTGACTATGCCTTGTGGTTTTTATATGAGATTTGCAAATTACCTTTTATAATATTTAAGACACTTGCTCGACCGACCGTCTGGTAGCAGCAGCGGCAGGAGCAGCATTTTGCGAAAGTGTGCCTGCTCCCTGTGTACTTTCATTTACATTTTATGCTTTTTACAACAATTTTATTGCTTAATATGGCAAAGCAAATGCCGCCCTCTACACGGGCACTTCCCGACCACATTGTGTAACTGCTGAAACAAATTGTCACCCTACAGGCTGGTAGAACACACACAATTTTAATAGAGGAAACTGTTTATGGGAGTTGGTAAGTGGAAAGTGTTTTGGGGCCTCGGCTGTTAGAGCGCCTAATGTTTCCTTATGGTGCGTTTGAACACATTTTAATATGCAATTAATATGCCTCGGTGGCTGACACATTCTTTTATAATACTTACATGACAGAGAGCAAGTCATGGCTATGTATTTTAATGACCATCCACGCACGAACGCACACATAATCAGCTAATTTTGTTCATGTAGCTTGTGGTTGCTTGCTTGTCGCCTTACAAATTCCGCATAAATCATACGCCCCGTTGTCCCCACTGACCCATTGAGTCCCCACTCGCCAAATAAATCAACTTGAATATCAAATTTGTAGTCCACAACTTTCTTGTGCGTACTTTCCTATAGCAATTTTTATATTCAATTCGCGTAGTAGGAAATATGTAGGAAATATGTGGTTTATCAAAAATATTATTAAAAGTATTGATCCATACCCATCAACTGGACCACTGGACCATCATGTATGATAAAAATGGAAATGGGAATACTATATTCAAGGTACATTTTAACACTTGTAATCATAAGCTCTTCTTTAATATACCCACATCAATGTTAAATGTGTTTGTTTCCGAAAACTTTAAACATAATTTAATATTGAAGGTCGAGTATGTTTTAAATATTTTAATTAGGTGCCATCTTAAATCTCACACTTAGCGTTTGTATTCAAACTCAAAGCTTAAGTACTTCCAAGAACAATTAGAACAATGAAAAAATTCCGAGTAATTTATGCAACTACCCTGGTAATGAAAATCCCAAAAATTAAAGACGGTATACCCGAGTCGAGTGCACTCGCCTGTAAGATTCTACGAGTATAACTTTTTTCTCCCTGCAAACCGTGTTGAACATCAAAAGCATTGATGGCTCGGCGTTGTAACCCGCTTGAACGCTTCAGCTGACAGCTGCCCATATGCGACCCGCTTCAGTTACCCATACACTTCCAAGGGCGGCCCTTTACTTTTGTTTCTGTCACTTGGTCAAGTTTTCTGATTGAAGCGGCTGAAGTGGCCGCCTTCTGTTTCTGCTACTACTTACTTATGCGTTCCTTGTGCCATGAAAGTTGGCAAGGCAACAGTGGGCTGGAGCCACGCCCACAACAAGCTGCCTTTGGCTACGCGCTGGGCCGTTGCGGCATTAATGCCACATTATAAGATTTATTATACGCCAAATGAATTTGCTACACAGCTCACAATTGTATGTGTATGTACGTACGAGTACATAGCGTTTCCTTTACCAAATATTTGACAGAAAGTCGCATAAATAATGCTTCCAGCTGCTCCTGTCGGTCGTGTGTAGAACTGCAGAGATCTACCATTAGGCGCGGGCAGATTGACAAAACTCAATCGGATTTCCCTACAAATACTTCTACATATGTAAATTCCGTTTGAAGTTGCTGAATACACATGCATGTGTCGGAAATTAATATGAAAAGCGGATATAAATAAAGTATGCGGAATAAATGAAAGTCAGTCCACACTTCAATAAGGAGGCAAACTTTAATTTTACACGAAATTGTATAAACTGTGTCCAAATATGAATAAATCTCTTTTCCATCCACTTATATTTCTCCCGAATTTTTTCAAGTTTCTGCAACAGTTACACGAGAGGTCGATGTTTGATCCCTTAAGCTGAAGTTGGGCAAAACAAATTGGGGTCGCTTGAACTATGTGTATCCCTTTCAGAATTATGGCTTATAAAACAGACCACTAGTCGCAAAGTTTTTGCTACTACATCGCAATGCTTACGAGTATACTCGTAATGTGTCTGCGATTATCCGTGGCAAATTGAGGCCGCTTTTGTTTTATTCTATCTTGTTTGTTTGTCATTGTACATTTTTATGCCAAAGTCAAGCTAATGTGCACTCATTAGACGCAGGCTGCCACGTCCTTTCTCCTTGCTGCTTCTTTGTTACCCTAGTGCACTCAATTTTTGGGTATTTTCAGCAAATACGAATAAATTTAAAAAAAGGAGAACGGGCGAGATTGAGGCTGAAAAAATACAACAGACAACTCAAATTATGCAGCCATGCGTATAATTAATCTGTTAGCATTAATTGCGGCAAAAGGCTGCAAAACCGCAACCGAAGCAGGATCTGCGGTAGTAGGAGGTAGGTGGAGGCAGCGGAGAGTCGGAGCTGGGAGAGGGCCACAGAGAAACAGCATGAAAGCGTTGCGAAGCAAAGCCTGAAATTATTTTAACGCTCAGGCAGCGAGATAAACTACGGACTGCGGACTAAAGACCCCCAATACTGTTGCCAGCGCCCATTTTAACTTGTGTTTGTGTGTGTGTGTGTGTGTCTCTGTGTGTGTGCCTGTGTGTGTGCTTAAATGTCATTCGTAGTTAGTCAAGCGTGACAGCAAAATATAAATCTGCTGCCATAGCAAGGCGGCGTCATCGCAGTTTATTGAGAGATCAGTGAATAGCCGACGGGAACGGCACTTAAAGTTGATTGCGCGCACTAAATGCACAAAATGCGCTTTAAATGCTGCTTTAAATGTTAAAAAAAGACATTGTCACCCTGTGCAGGGTGAAAACTTTCCATCCACATACCCAGTCTCGCTGTCTACTTTTATTTCTTGCTCTCTATCTTGGCGTGTGTAATTAATTGCTGGCAAGGTGCTTACGCCAACACATTGTATACTGTACATAGTTGCGAAGTCAAGGCGCAAGCTGCATGACGAGAGTGAAAAAAAAAATACCTGGAGAGAAAAACGACTGCACAATTTATAAAAGTCAACACTTGAACACGTTTCAGCATTCGAGCGGGAGGCCGTGCGACCGAAAGACCGAACGACCGACTGAACCAACAACTGAACGACCTGCCTCCGCTCCCACTCCAGCTGGCACCCGCCTGGCAAACTCTCGTCATTTTATTATCAAGCGTATTTCTGCACGTAATTGTTTTGACGTCACTTTGCAAATTGTCCATTTTTTGTCTCACTGCGTGCCGTGCCGTGTCACGGCATGACCTGACAACAGCTGCCATTCACTGGTCGCAGGTTAGCTGTTTTGTCAACTAGTCCATTAACGCAAAAGTATTGTAATTAATTGTTGGGACTTCTATCCATAATGACAAATTTGTTTTGCGCCGCTCTCATTCCAAAATGCAATACTAGCTAGGTAGCTACTAGCTATCTAGCTATCTGGCAATCTATCTACTTATCTACCTATCTACTAGCTGCATGCAAATTGCTGTTCCACACGCACGCAACACCTGGCGTATGCGCAATATTTAAGTGAGACCTGCGCACGGCAAAACGCCATTTGTCCGATACAATTATCGAATGATATCTGATTGCTGTTGTCAATCATTATCTGGGACACTGTCAAGCCAATCGTTGAACTCTCTGTGTAGCTTTAATTTCAATTTAAATTGCTGAGTGGCCGCCTCGCTCTGATTACTGTGATTATTGCCAAATGGCTTGTCAAATGAAGTTAATTCAGGCCGATTTGTGAGTTAACAATTTATGTGTGCGTGTATTTTACTATACTTACGAGTATATGGGTCGCGCGTACAATTCAAGTTTTCTATACTTACTTCCACACAAGCTCGCAGTTTTTTGCGTTGATTATGCTAAAAATAGAAGAAGACAAATATAACGGAAGTTAGATACAAGTTAGATTGCGTGCTATCTGTGGAGTTGGATACGAGAAATCAAACTGGCACGTGTGTAAATATAGTTTCACTCAATCAACAAACATCGAGCGTACATCTAACCGCACAAAAAAAGAACCTACAAGTAGAATATATTTATAAACCAAGCCAAAATGCTTTAACTCATAAAACAAATAGTAGATACATGCCTCTTTTTCACTTTTTTGTTTTGGGTTTTGCACTTTGTTTTACTAGCCATGCAGACCAATGTTTGCCTTGTCCATTTGTTGTCCGCCTGCCACAGACAGGCACAGCAAACAAATACCATCCTGCTACCCATACGCGCTGTACTCTACATATACATTTTATGCGCATAATTGTGCAGTGGAGTTGTGCTGGTCTAGTTCATAAACTAGTTTTTTATGAGTAGCTCCACATAATCGGTGCTTCAATTGTGCATTTCAATTACGAGTTCATAACAAACTTGTCTTGCGCTGTTAACAATCAGAAACAGATTCTAAACAACAGAGCTTCCTTCTCAAAGAAAAAGCTAAAAGTTTCGCAATAACAAGTTGAAAATTTCGTAAGAGAAACTATTTTAGAAAATGCTTAAAACTCTTTACCAATATAGTAAATGAATGAATTCAAAAGCCGCTTTATAGGCTAGTGCGTTATGTTCTGGAACTATTATTTATATTCAACTCGAAAGAAGTCCAATGCGTAGAAAGATTAGCCAAATGAGCAGAATCGTACTCGCATACACACATCTAGTGCCACACCCCAATAATCTATTGACATTGAACTGAGATCGGCGGCGGAAAGTGCCGCAGCGGTCCTAGTCGCTCATTTCTCCGAATGCGTGTGTATGTGTGTGTGTGTGTATTTTTTGAACGCTGATTGCCGCCTGCTGAGTCAGCCCTGTCAGCTTTTGCATGTTATTGACATTAGAGACTGAATGTGCTGCCAAAGGACTTTGGCGAGCTTAAGTGCAATCAATGTTGCTGAAGTCAAAATCAACGTCAGCGTTGAGTACAACGTCATCGTCGTTTACATCATCGCTGTGCCACCGACATGCCGACATCTTCGACGGAGTTTTTGCGGCGTCATCAGGACACACACATCCCCTGGCGGCACGCTAATCCTTTACACACAATGTGTGTCTGTGTGCGCGCTTTCTGTTCGGTTGGTTATTTCTGTTGTTTTTGCAGAGTGCGCACTTCTAATTAAATATTAGCGTTTCCTTTTTGCAGCCGAGTAGAATGTTTCAATTAATTATTGGAGCAGCAGCAGCAGCAGAAGCAACACAAGCAACAGCAACAGCACAAGAAGCTGTGGCAGCAACAATAATAATAGCAGCAACAACGTCACTTGTGCAAACAAATAACGCTTGAGCAGAAGGAAAAAAAATGAAGTAAATTAATTATGGCTGCCTCGCTGAGCGTTTCAATAGAAGTTAGCGACAAGCCTTTACAAATAATTAAAAAGGGACATGGGCCCGATCTGAGAAAGCAATTATTTGTCCTACGCCTTGCAAAAACACAGTAGCCTCCCCTCAATGCACAAATGGCGCAATTTCGCCAAGTTGAAAGGGGCAAAAAGTTTTGCAGCAAATTAAAATTAATGAAAATAAATTTTCAAAATTGTTTTCAACCCCTTTTTTCTGTGTAGCCGACAAGTTGACTCTTGAAAATGATTTGAGTGTAATAAAGCAAAGCTGAGCCCACCAGAACCGAACATAGTTGAGGCGGTGGGGCAATGAAAAAGGGTCGTCTTCGTCTTCATCTTCATCCTCATCGTCGTCGTCGTCATCTTCGTTCTACTCTTGCCAATTGAATGGTTCGCCAGTTGGCTTGTGGGCTCGAACTTGGGGCTCGTCGGGGCTGACATGAAAGCACTTATAAAATTTAGTTCTTGTTCTCAATCTTGTATTTGGGGTCATTTAGCTCAGTGGAGGGAGCGCGATGCCTAACCCAGCATGCCGTTTATTTTGTGCACATGAACAAATCGTCCTGCTGCTTTACGGCTTGGCATTACGACTTTGGGGTCCTGTTTAATTTACCAGCGCAGCGGTTGTAAAATGTTGCCTAAAAGAATTAGCTCAAATTATTCAGCTGCTTCTGCAAACAGAAACAAGAAAAGTCAAGTCCAAACATTATTGAACTAATTCTCTACTCGATTAGGGGAAAAGGTCATAAGTTGTGAAGCCCCAACGAAATATTCAACAGAATTCGGTAGCTGAGTAAATACTTTCGAACATTTCATAAATAAGTAATCGTTTCGAAAAGCACGTTTATTTTAATTTCGTTTTGACAGTTTAATTGTTAAACATGCCAAATAATTTTGTCCTTCAGGAAATACAGAACTGTGATAAGTATATTAATGAAACATGATTTAGTTTTAAATTGTTTAATTTTTTTACAACTTATCACCTACAAGTATAACCTATTTGGGAAAAAACCATGGCGCAGAGCACATACATACTGTCTGCATTTCTCTTCTGCACTTCATACCCATTTGATATCGCATGTCCCGAACAGCCATTAGTAGCCTGATAGCGGCCTGATAATCCTGATAGTCGTGTACTATACGTACACACATGCTGTGTATATGCGCAAGGATTAGTTTACTTTCCATGAACTTTTAATGTCATTTGCTTATTTAATTAAGCTCATTATAACTGCAAGTTTGTTGTTGCTGTTGATGCCTTTGCTCTGACGTTTTGTTTTTCGATTTTGCGGCACCATGACCTAACCTTAGCAAGTGCTGAGTAGATGTGGGTGTGTTGGTGCGTCCATATGTTGGGGACATGCATAATTAATGACCATGGCAAGCTCGTGCCGCTGATTAAGAGCATATTGTTGACCATATTGAAAATTGAAACCGCTTTGGAAGACGCAAGGAAAGTCTGTCTGAAATTTTGGGTAGCGATTACTGTCTGTCTGACATATTAAACACATAATTAGCCTCGAGTAAAGTAAGCCAAAAAAAATGAAAATGGCAGCCAGGATTAATGAAAATAATTACTGGACCATGACCGTCACACAAACACACATGCATACAACGGCCCGGATGAGGGTCAAAGTGCTTATTATACTTGTACTTGTATGTAGCGGCAGCAAGCAAAAGAGATATTTAATTTATTCAAAATAATATAGATTGTGCGGGTTGAAGACACCAATTTGTGCACATGTCCCAGCCATATGTGCAGATGTCCTTGCTAACTTTGTTTTTGGCCAACTGACCGCACAAACAAACACACCCACACCCACACACACACGCAAAGCGACTGCCCAAAAATATCCAAATGTTTGGTTGGGGCGTTCAGTTTGGTAATTTTAACGCATGACCGCGTTTCTGAGTATGCCGTTATTTAAAAAAGGGAGCACCAATCCACAGACATACTTGTATGTATACATACATACTATGTATAGTATAGTCGAACTAGCTATGTCACACACACGCCCCACTATTCGTATCAAAAACATGCTCAATTTAATTTGAATTGTGCAAAGAGTGCAGAGTGTGCCCCGCTCTCTAGCTACGGCAACTGAATGCAGCAGCTAGAGGGACATCGGCCCCAAATCACCCAGCCAGTTGCCAACTGCCAGGCCAATTCAAGCCACTTCACCGCAGCTATCCCACCGAAGGAACGCAGGATGGGCACAGTGTGAAAATTTGATAACAAGCACTCGTAAAAACTGTATTGTGATTAATTTTAATAGAAAGCCATTTCTTTTAGGTTGATGAGTTTAAAGTTTAACGTTTTTAGCATTGGTTAATTCAGTATTAAGTTAAGCTTAGTTTCGGAACATTTCTATAAAACACTCCTCTAACAAATTGTATTCATGATGCCATTGCTAGGTATCAACTGATGTTACATTAGGATGAATGCCAGAGCACCATTGGCGTTTGATTTTTATTTATTTATGAAGAAAAAAACCAAGTACTTTCAATTTGTAATGCACAGATAACGTTTCAATTAAAAGAAATTTCATACGAAATTCAAACTTCTTAAAAAAGGAATAACGAAGGAACAAAATGTAATGTGATTCATTTTAATAGAAAGTCATTCGTTTTAGGTTGATGAGTTTAAAGTGAAATGTTTGTTTTTATTGGTTTATGCCTTTCTATCCAACATTTCTATAAAACACTCATTTTACTTTTCCTACGAAATGGGCTCATCACAGAAATTTTATTCAAGATGCCATTGCTAGGTATCAACTAATGTAACACTTAGGGTGTTTGATTGGAATTAATTAGTTTAAGAAAAACAAACAAAATACTTAAAACGTGTAAGGTACAGAAAACATTTTAATTAAAAGAAATTTCGTCAGAAATGAAAACTTCTTATACAAGAAATTAAATTTAAACATTAGATTTTTAAAAAGTCTATAAATTATGTTGTCCTTTTCAAACGGTTTTAAAGTAAATTGAAACGGAAAATATGTATATTATACTTTAATTATATGGAAAGAAAACAAATAGGTGACGCAATAGCAAGTAATAAAAATTAAAAGCCATATTGAATGTCCGGAACGGAAAAAACGTTTTTCAATAAGAAGGCTTCGAATAGCCAAAATGTTAGTTGTAGATTCTCACAAATAACTCATTTTTCATTTTGGATCTAGGAAGTAAACTTTAGTTTCATGAGTTATTATCTTTGTAAATATCATGAATGTCGAAATAATTGTTAATGCATTTCCATAATGTTAACAATTTCATTAAATACATAAGTGTATGCGTATTTAGATTTACTTTTTGTTTGTCCTTCCACTCCACACTGTGCGGTGTCAGTTGCCCTTTTTATGTGTGTGATTATTTTATTTATGTCGCACCCAATGGCAGCACATCAGCTTGAGTGGGATGGAGGGTAGCCTGGCAGCTAGGATAATGGTAGCGTAGAACGTTTTTCAGAACTTTTGAATGCCCACTGGCTTAGCATAAAGCAATAAATTAGTGGACATCCGAGTTGAATTTAG